AGAGAGAGGCACCAGAGGGAGGGGTGGACGGCTGGAAACTTCAGGAGGAGGGTGGAAATTTGGGTGGGGGCGTCAAGGCTGCACAGTCCCCTGCGCCCATGCTCAGAGCTCACCCTCTGGGGCTGAGAGGTTGAACACAATCACACGGGAGATGGGGCCGTCCTGCAGGATGGTCCATGTCTGTAAAACCTCTGTGTGGAGGCGGGGAGAACTCAGGCCCCGCCCCCAGCGCCGGCCCCGCCCCCAGCTCCGGCCCCGCCCCTCACCTCTACTCTGCTGGTCCACATGAGCAACGCGGACATAACCACTCTGACAGCCGAGAGCTGTGAGCCGTCGAGATGTGCCCGGCAGGTTATGGACGTCAAGCCATAAGACGCTGGTGAGCAGGCAGAGGTAGCAGCCAGATGGTCCTCAGCTCCTATCCCCACGTCCTTCAGGAACGTCCATCCCATCTCCCCAGACCCCAACACCCTGCAGCCTGATTTCTCTGAGTAATTAATCCCCGTCGCCCAATTTCTCTGAGTCCTCTCTCCATTTTCTCAGGGGTCATCACTGTCAGTTCACTTCTCGGCCTTCATTCCTGTGCTCTGAGTTTCCTGAGCGCATCCTCGCTGCCCAGTTTCTTTAAGGCCATCTCCACTCCCAGTCCCTGAGGTTTCTCCCGCCCCAGCCCCTGCTGGCCGCCTTCGGGGGCTCTCTTACCTACTGGTCAGATCTGTGAGCTCTGGGAAGAGGTTTTCCACTGGTTGTTCCTCAAACTGATGAAGTCCCTCGTTCTGGGGGAATCACGACCCATCCCGTCGGGGTCACAGCCACCCCCCCCCAGCCCTGTCCCAGCCCCATGGCCACGCCCAGCAGGGCTGCCCCGCCTCACCTCCTTATACAGATGAATGGCCGGGTTGTTCCCACTCAAGAGAAACACAGTCTCCAGCTGGTCCCCAAGCTGGACCCTGAAAGCAAAGAGCTGTAGAAAGCACTCCGGTGTGGCAGAACCCGAGTGCGGTAGGACGCAGGCGCTGGAGGACCTTGGCTTGAGAAATCCCTTGCCTGCAAGACCCTTTGCACTCTGGGATCCAGAGCTGGAATCTCCTAGGGGGCTCTGGTGGCACGTGGTTAAAGCATTCAGTTGCTAACTGATAGGTCGGTGGTTCGAACACACTAGCCCCTCCGTGGGAGAAAGATAAGGCAGTGGGCTTCCCTTAAGATTGACAGCCTTGAGAACCCTATGGGGCAGTTCCACTCTGTCCTCTAGGGGCGCTGTGGGTCAGAATGGACTCCACAGCAGTAGGTGTGGTTTGGGCTTTGCTTCTGTGAAGACTGACAGCCTTGAGAACCCTGTGGTGCAGTTCCACTCTGTCCTCTAGGGACGCTGTGGGTCGGAATGGACTCCAGGGCAGTGGGTTGTTGTTTTGTGCCATTCAGTCGGACCCGACTCAGTGATTAGTCCAGGTATTGTCCCACTTTCAGCCAGATTCCCTTCCACCAACTCCATCGTACGTTGGATCTGACCTAAGTTGCCTACCTTTCTTTAGTTTTGACGTTTTCATTATTATTGCCTTTTGTTACCAGTATCTTCATAAATCTGATCTTGTGACATCTGTGAGTGAACACCTGAGACTGAGAACATCAGCAAGTTATGTGCTGCAGCACTGTGTGCAGCACCTATCACTAACAATAATCACAGACAAACCCAGACACGATCATAAAGGCGGTTTGTCCTAACTCGAGTAGGTCGTAAGTCGGGGACCGCCCGTCTTCTCTCTCTGAAATGCAGAGCTGTAGAAACTAGCCATCCTGGAACCTCAGCATGGCGGGCTTGCAGAGCCTTCCAATCCCAGAACCCCAGAACTTTAGCTTGTTGGAACCTTCCCTTCCTAGGACCCTCCCCTGCTAGAATCTTCATTCCGGCTGTGGAGTCTGTAATGGAATCCCGGGCTAGAATGGGAACACAGGCCCTCTTCAATCTGTGGGGGT